TGATGATAAGAATGATAAGGATGGCTGATAAGTAAGTCAATGGAAATTATACTTATAATGACGATGGTAAATAAGGGAAGGAAGGTTAAACATAAAAGGGGACATATATGATACGATTAAAGAAAAAAAAGAAAAGAAAGAAAGAAAGAAGAAAAAGAAAAAAAAATATATATGACAAAATTTCATGATAATCAATCATTAAATTCTAAATAAAATAAATGCTAATAAGGATCACAAATATAATCTTCCTTTATTCTTTATCAGCCTTTCTCTCCCTCCTTCTCTTCCATTTTCTTTCCACCTATTTCCCACTTTCTCCATTCTACCTTTTCTCTTCACTTGAATTCACATCTCCCTCTTTATTAGTTTTCCTATCTCCTCCTATGAGAGGATAATCTCTTTCTTGTTTTCTTTCACCTTTTCCTCTGTTATTCCCTCCTTTCGTCTCCCGTTCCTCACCGCCATTCTCTCTTCTCTTCATTTTCTTTTCTCCTTCTTCCCCCTTCCTTGTCCACTCTCTCGGCCAATATCGACACTCCCCGTTAAGTCACTTCCCTCCCCCTCTCCCTCCCTTCCTCCACCCCCCACCCCCCCCTTGAGCTAACAATGAGCCACTACCCCTTTCATTAATATTTCCTCCTCCTCCTCCTCCTCTCTCTTCCTCCTCCTCCTCTCTCTTCCCCCTTTCTTCTTTCTTTCCCATTCTCCAACATCCTTCACCCCCGTTAAGGTCTTCTCCCTCTCCCCTTCCCCGCCCTAACTTTATCTGTCTCTCTTTCTCTCTCTCTCTCTCTCTCTCTCTCTCTCTCTCTCTCTCTCTCTCTCTCAGCCTCTCCTTCCTCATCTCTCCCCCTCCCCCATCCCCTCTTAACCAGCATCCTCCCCACCCCCACCCCCCACAATCTCCTCCAATGTCAATTCTCCCTATCAGCTGTTCCCTCCCTCCCTTCCTCCCTCCCTTAGAGCCGATGTCCTCCCTTCATCTCCTTTTTCTCCCTTTTCCTTATCCCTCCCTTTAACCAACTCTCTAATAATCTCTTTTTCCCCTCCCCAACTTTCCCCAATATCCTTACCCCTCCCCTTACCTCCCCCCCTTCCCCTCTCTTCCCGGATCTTCACTCATTGCTAACCTCTCCTTCCTCCCCCCCCCCCCTTTTCCCCTCTCTCCTCCCGGATCTTCACTCATCGCTAACCTCTCTTTCCTTCCCCCCCCTCCCCCCCTCACCTCCCTCCCCATCGAGTCTACATTATCACTACCTCCCTCCCCCTCCCCCCTCTTCCCTATCTCTCTCTCTGCTTGACCCAATATTCTATTCCCTGTTTAACTTTTCTCCTTCCCCCCCTTTCATCTTTCCTTTCTCTTTTTCTCTTTCCCTTTATGCCTTTACCTTGCCCCCCCCCCCTTATATTGTTTTTTTTTTTTTCGTTTTGTTTTAATTTCCCTCTTTCTCCTTCTCCCCCTTTCCCCCCTTTTTCCTTTCATTTTCTCTCTTCCCCCTCTTCGCTTTTCCTTTCAACTTCCGTATTTTTCCTCTTCCCTTTTCCCCTTTTCCTTTCCACTTCCCTCTATCCCCTTTTCTACTTTTCCTCTTCTCCCTTTCCTCTCAACTTACTTCTTTCCCACTCTTTCTAATTCTTCCTTTCCCTCTTTCCCAATCTTCCCCTTTCCCATTTTCCTCTTTTCCCTCTTTACTCTCAACTTTCCTCCTTTCCCACTCTTTCTCATTCCTCCTTTTCCTCCTTTCCCACTCTTCCCCTTTCCCATTTTCCTCTTAATTTCCCTCTTTCCTCTTTTCCCTTTTCCTCTCAACTTCCCTCCTTTCCCACTCTTTCTCATTCCTCCTTTTCCTCCTTTCCCACTCTTCCCCTTTCCCATTTTCCTCTTTTCCCTCTTTCCTCTCAACTTTCCTCCTTTCCCATTTTCCTCTTAACTTCCCTCCTTCCTCTCAACTTTCCTCCTTTCCCACTTTTTCTAATTCCTCCTTTTCCTCTCAACTTCGCTCTTTCCTCTTTTCCCTTTGCCTCTCAACTTTCCTCTTTCCTCTTTTCCCTCTTTCCTCTCAACTTTCCTCCTTTCCCATTTTCCTCTTAACTTCCCTCCTTCCTCTCAACTTTCCTCCTTTCCCACTTTTTCTAATTCCTCCTTTTCCTCTCAACTTCGCTCTTTCCTCTTTTCCCTTTGCCTCTCAACTTTCCTCTTTCCTCTTTTCCCTCTTTCCTCTCAACTTTCCTCCTTTCCCATTTTCCTCTTAACTTCCCTCCTTCCTCTCAACGTCCCTCCTTTCCCACTCTTTCTAATTCTCCTTTTCCTCCCTTTCCTCCCTTTCTTCGACCGCCGCCCTTCCCACCATGCCTGAAGCCTGTCCAGATTGACAATTTCTGAAGTTAATCTTGGAGAAAAAATTGTTAACTCCCGGGAGGGGTGGATGTAATCTTCGTCTTTTTTTTTAACGTAGGGGACTTTACGTGTTCTTACGTGGAATTATTTACGTGTGTGTGT